TGCAAAAATTGGTAAAAATCTTCTATTTCCTCTTCTTTGGCTCTGGATGTTGGTGCATATATTTCAACGATAGTGGTATTCACTGGACTTCCTTGTACGCACATGGATATTATCCTGTCTCTCACCACATTGTATTTCAGGATAGATCTCTCAGCAACTACCTATGACATTAGGTTTCCTGCCATGGCAAGTGTCCCAGAGGGGCATGTGACCGCTACAGCTCTGAGCTACGTATTCCTGCAGTGCCACTCCCAGACAGGCACTTGTAGACTAATCGTGGATGCTGACACACAGAGAGGACAATTTAATTCATCTACAAAATGACTTCAGTCAAAACTACTCTTGTAGTTGTTAAGCACCGTCAAGTGCAATTCATAGCAACCCGAGGAACCACAGATCTGAATCCTCTCTTATCCTGTGCCATCCTCATCATCTCTGATACACTCAAGCTCTTGCTGCAGTGATCAGTCAATCCTTCACATTGGGGGGGGGGGAGTCCTTCCCACTTCTGCAGACCCTCCACCCTTTCACACATGATACCTTTTTCCAAAAAAATAGCCCTTCCTAGCAACATGTTTAAAGTATGAAAGACAAAGCTTCTTTGTCCTTATCTCCAAGGTGCACTCTGATTGGACTTTTTCCAAATTTGTTTGTTCTTCTGGCAGTCCATTCAGTACTCTTCAACACTACAACTCAAAGGATCAATATAATTCTGTCATCCTTATTCATAGTCCAGCTCTCAGACAGATGCATGGCAAGTTATTGAAAAGACCATGGCCTGAATGAGGTGCATTCTTAGTCTTTAAACTGGCATCAAAACTCCAGTATTTTGGAGGGTCCCTGACAGCAGGCTTGCCCAAAGCAATACATCTCCATATCTCCTGACTGCTGGTACTAAGGGTGCTGACTGAGAGGCAAGCAAGATGAAATCATTAACAGTTCCAATACTTTGTCTGTCTATCATGATGCTTGTTGCCCACTGGCCCAGTGGTAAAGACCTTTGTTCCCTTGATGCTGAGATGCAATCCATACTGAAAGCTGTATTCTTTGATATTTTGGATAAAGCCCTTCAGGTATTCCTTGCTTTCAGCAAGCAAGGTTGTGTCATATCCATAATGCAAGTTGTTAATGAGTCTTCCTCTGATCCTGCGCTACATTCTAATTCAGAGAGTTATTTGCTTCATGAATTATTTGCTCAACATACATACTGAACAAGTACAGAGGAAGGATACAACCCTGATGCACATTCTTCCTGATTTTAAACCATTCAGTGTTCCCTAGTTCTATATGGACAATAGCTTCTTGGTCTAGGTACAGATTTTGTGTTAACACAATTCGTGTTCTGGGATTCCCATTCTTCTCAATGTTTGTCATAATTTGTTGTGACGCACATAGTCAAATGCCTTTCCATGGTTAATAGAACACAGACAGTCTTTTGGTATTCTCTGTTTTCAGCAAGAATCCCTGGTGCCACCACCTTTTCCTAAAACCAGTTTGAACTTCTAGAAATTCCCTATGAATGTACTGTTCCAGCCATTTTTTGCTTGTTCCAACAATATTTTGCTTGCAGGTAGCATTAATGATATTGTTTAATAATTTCCATATTCTGTTGGATCACCTTTTCTGGGAATGGAACAAATAGGGAAATCTTCCAGTCAGATAGCCTCAAAGTTTTCTGGTATAAAATGGTGAACATGTTCAGGGTTGCATCTGTTAGTTGAAGTACCTCAATCAGTATTCCAACTATTCCTGGGGTGTTATTTTTTGCCAGTGTCTTCAGCAAAGCTTACCAGTAGTCTTGTTCATATGGTATTTTCTGAAATTTTACAGTGTTGATAAATTCAGTCAAGGCTGTTAGTGCTGGTGAGGCACTTGCAACTCATAGTGACCCTATGTTCAACAGCTCTGAAGCCTGCTCTATCTTCAGCCAATTTCATTATCTCCAATATACCTACCTTCATTACTCCAGTCACTGAGTCAATCCATCTCATCCAGGGTCTTCCTCTCCTGCACTGTCCCTACAACCATCCAAGCATGATGTCCTTCTCCAAGGACTGGTCTCTCCTGGCAACATGGCCAAAGCATGTGAGACAAAATCTTCCAATCCCTGCCTCCAAGGAGCACCTAGTTTTACCCTCTCCAGGTCAGAACTGTTTATTCTCTTAACAGTCCATGGTATGTTCAGTACTCTCTTCCAGCACCACAACTCAAAGGCATTGATTTTTCTTCTCTCATCTTTAGTCATTTAGTCATTGTCTCTCTGATGCATATCAAGTAATTGTAAAGACCATGCCTTGGCTTAGGTGCACCTTAGTCTCTAGACTGACATTGTTATTCTTCAGTAATCTGGAGAGGTCGCTCAGCAAGTTTTCTCCATGCAATTTGTCTTTTGACTTCCTGTCTGCTAGTACCAAGTGTGTTGATTGTGGAGCCAAGCAAGCTGAAGCGGTTAACAATTTCAATCTCGTCTCTATCTATCATAATTAACAAAGTGATAAGAATCTGTCTTCTTGATGTTGAGCTTCAACCCATATTGAAGAACACAGTCCTTGACCTCCTGTAGCAAATGTTTCAAGTTCTCCTCAGTTTTAGCAAGCAAAGTTGTGTTATCTGTGTAACTCAGTTGTTGATGAGTCTTCCTCCAATTCTGATGTCACCTACCTCCTCATAAAGCTAGCCTCCTTGATGATCTATTCCGCACACAGATTGAAAAAGTATGGAGATAAGATGCATCCCTGGCACACATCTTTGCTGATTTTGAACTTTGCATTGTTTTCTTGCTCTGTTCTGACTGCTGCCTCCTGGTCCAAGTGTAGGTTTTGCATAAGCACAGTCAGATGGTTACCAGTCAAAACAAGGCACCTCAAATCAAGTCTTTCTGGAACTACTAACATGGTGTTGTTTTTGTTGTTGTTAGGTGCCATCCAGTCAAGTACAACTCATGGCAACCCTATGAACAAAAGATCCCCTGCTCTATCCTGCACCAACCTCAAACTTCCTGACACACAAGAGCGCATTATGGCAGTCACTATGTCATTCCAGCTGGTCAAGGGTCTTCCTTTCCTTTGACAACTCTCCACCCTTTCCAACATCATGTCCTTCTCTAAGGAAAAGTCCCTCCTAGAAACATACGCACTGTGTGAGGTGAAGCCTCATCATTCTAGCCTCCAGAGAACTCTGGCTGCACCCTTTCCAAGACATATCTATTTGTTCTCTTTGCTGTCCATGGGATGGTCAGTGCTCTTCTCCAACACCACAGCTCAAAGGCATCAATTCTTTTTTCTATCATTCTTACTCATTGTCCAGCTCTCAGATGCATACCACATGACTGGAAAGACTATGGCCTGAATCAGATGCACTTAGTCCTCAAACTGCCATCATTACTCCTCAATAATTTGAAGACGTCCCTAACTGCAGATTTTTCCAGTGCAATGTTGTCTCCTTATTTCCAGACTGCTGGTACCAAGGATTTAATTGTGGATCAAAGTAAAATGAGGCTGTTGACAGTTTCAATCTCTTTTCCATTCATCATGATGTTGTCTTTTGGTCTGATGGTAAGAATCTTTGTTTTCTTGATACTGAGATGCAATCCTTACCAAAGGCTGCATTCCTTGATCTTTTGCAACAAGTGCTTCTAGTCCACCTCACTTTCAGCAAGCAAGGTTGTGTCATCTGCATTAACACAGATTACTGAAGAGTCTCACTCCAATCTTAATGTCACACTCCTCTTCACAGAGTCTAGCAAAGAAAATATGGTGCTAAAATGAAACAGTGAGTTAATACAAACCTTTATGCCACCTACTTCTAAGTCAGTATTGGTATAAAAGTTCCATTTTTAAATGATTATTAAAAGTAAAAAAGAAAAATGTAATAAATATTCATTAGTATTAGTAGGGATACTAGCTAGTATTGACTAGTACCTTTACTTTTACATATTAAGTATCATTTCACAGCAGAGCATAAAATAACCACAGAAGACTTACTTTGGACTGGATGCACTACTTCTAGAGGATTTCCTGGTTCCCAAACCAAATTTTTTCTTTTTTTGGCCTTGTTTTATCAAAATTACAATTTAATGAAAAATCATTCCAGTAAAGGATACCAAGAACAGCCTGAGATATGGGAAGCCACTGACTGCAAATGGCATTGATCTGAACTTTGGGATCTGAATGCCGGGCCTCCCGGGCTCCAATTTTCAAACCTAAAGAAGTTATGATTTTTTCAATTTTTTCTCTGTCCCTGTAGTAAACAAGATAATGGAGGAGACAAGGTCACACACAAGAGACATGATAAGCAGTGGAGAGAAGAAAATTCATCATTATTTGCCTCATTTTTTCCTAATGTATTACTTTTTCTATAAAAAAGAAAAAAGTGGCTAGAATAGGCTTTTGCCACTGAGAGACACTTGACCTCTTATAGTGCTTGGATAACACACTCTCAAATAACTCTTTCCTTAAAACTTCCCAAAAAAACATCAATTCACAATAATCTATGTCGACTGGTTGAGCAATTTTAAAATAAATGTAAAAATTCATTATTCCCTCTCTGGAACACTCAAAAAGTATACTTATTAAAAAACCTTTCTTTTCCGCTTGAACAGTCAACTTATTTCCCCAGCTCCTTACCTAGTTTGGATATCAAGAACCTCTTCTACTAAAATTATCCCCCCCCCCCCTTTTCTATATTTGGTTTGTGAAACAAAGGCCAACGTTCCTTTTTTTTTTTTTTTTGGTCAAGCTAGAAAAATACTGTTTTGTCCTGCCTCTGTCACCCTTGACTTAGGTTAAATATTGTTATGTGCCTTCGAGGTGCTTGCAACTCATAGCGACCCTATGTACAATAGTGCTAAACCCTGCTCTATCCTGTGCCAATGTTATAGTCTCCAACACACCTATTCCTATTACGCCAGTCACTGACTCAATCCATCTCATCAAGAGTCTTCTCTTCCTCTCCTGCGTTGTCTCTCCACCCTCCCAAACATAATGTCCCTTTCCAAGGACTGGTCCCTCCTTGTGAAATAAGCCTTAATATTTTGTTTCCAAATCCTATAATCATCTAAAAAGACTCTGTCTCAGTTTTCTGAAGTATGATTCATCACATTAACAGGGAGGAAGCACATTATGTTACCCAAAGACAAACAACAGTATAATAGTCTTACTTTTTCAAGACAGCATCATACAAACTCCATATATTTTCCAAGATCAACTGTACAAATAAAGGTTTCTTTCCTTTGGCCTGTACAAAAGAATATTTAATGAGTATTTAAAATATTCATTCTTGACATTTTTGTCAATGTTTCATATTTATTTGAAAATACTTATCCACTAGTAGAAAAAGAAGTTATAAGAGTGTTCAAACAGTCAACAGACCACAATCAGCAATAATCCACTTTTCTTGTCCGAATCAAGGACTCTGCAAATGATGAGATCATTTGGGGTACATATCTCAGCAGCTGCCCCACTACTGCCATCAAAGAAACACCCAAGCTGAGAGTTAAAGCACAAGTGGACCTTCCTGTGGACCTCATTCTAAAGTACATTAAGAGCAAGTACAAAATGTCCTTAAGCATAGGCGGGGAAATTTCCATTTCAAGAAAAATGAATTTAAAAAAATAATCATTTACTTTAATAAGCTACACGAAGAGAAATTAATAACAAGAGTTCTCTAAGCTAGATGCTCTCTCATATACTGAAGGGAATATAAATTGGTATCTCCTTTCTGAAGGGCTGTTTACCAATAGGTATCAGGAGACTGAGAGTAATTAGTTTGATGTGTAATTTAAAAAAAAGAGTCATCATCAAAACATAAATTTCTGCACAAAAATAGTCACTGTCACACTATTTACAGTACATTTTAGGGAAAGGAAAAAAGCCATGCGTATATAAGTTGAAGATAGTTATATAAACAATGATGGACTCACAAAACAAGTTAATAGTAATAACAATAATACCTAAGCCAAGTAACTTACATACAGATAAGTGTTTGTAATTTTAAGTAAAAGTTGTAAAGATAAAACTTTTCTTAAAATCCCTAAAGATGTAAAACATTTCAAAATATAACTACTATTGTTGATTCAACATAGAAAAATCTAATAGTTCTCTTATCTTTTTTGCTGTTCTTCTAAAGAGAAGTACAAAATTGTAAGTACTGCTAGACAAAAAACTATTATGCTTACTATTAACCTGCATCTAGCAGACAGAGTTCAAGCAATCTCTAAGATAAACTTAACAAATATCAATAAAAGAACTGAAGCTAAGAAAAAAGTGACTAGAGATTACTTATATAAGCTTATTTCATAGAAGAAATAAAATATGTTTAAGTAAGACCTGTAAATTACTCTAAGTTAGTAGTAATAATTCAAAATAAAAAAAAACCCTACAGCAGAGATAGCTGTATTCATTTTTCTTATTACTAACTTTCTTACAGCAATAATAACTAAAATATACTATAGAACATTAAAGTAAAAAATGTTATCTAATATTGGTAGTAAGTTGGAAGCAGGAGTGGCATCCACTTCCTAAACAACATTCCTCTGGAACCTCTATGAACTTTGACAAACGAAGATAGTTTTAGAAAGGCTTTAAAGTCTTTTGATCACAGGGTTGCTATGAGTCGTGCTTCACTTGAAATCAATCAACAACAACAACAATCTATGATGAGGGAGTTCTGCTTGCTCAGAGGTAAGAAGTTGTGCTGCCAAACTGAAGGCACCCAGCTCAAATTCACCAGCCTCTCCATGGGAGAAAGATGCACAATTTCCTCCTGTGTGATTTCCAACCTTTGGAAATCTGTTGAAGGGTCAACTATGAGTTGGTTCCAATTCAACAATACCAAACAACATTCAACAGTGAGAATTGTTCTAAAAACTTGACATACAACATCTTTCTACAGTGCAGCTGCTGGTGCATTTAAATCACCAGAGTTGCTGCCTCTGGGTTAGCTCTATACCTCCCTATCATCAAGTAGGTCAGCAGGGACCTGTAATCATCGTATCACTCTTTAAATACTATTTTCTTCATTTTATAAATTAGAAAACCAAGGCAAAGTCCACAGAGACAACCAAAAGCCAAATAGGCTCCAAATCTCAGATGAGATTTACCTACTGTTTACTGACTCCCGTAAGGGCACAAAGCATGCAATGCAAACTCATCTGCTTTCATGAGGCTAGGACCTAAAATTTTTATTAAGAGGAACAAATATGAAGAAAATGACAGTAAGTGCCACTCTTTGCTCCTTATATTTAAAAGGGCTAAAAAAAAAAATATCTATTTAAGCAATTCTTAGATAAAAGACCTGTGAGCCTTAACCAAATATAAATAGCAGAAAAACCACTCAGAACTAATCTGCATAAATGAAAGCTGAACCAAGCCTAGCAAAGGTGTTACAGGTTTTCACAGGCCAGGATGTGACTCATAATGAAAAAGGGGCACGTGCCACATTACCTGATCCACCTTCATAATCTTCTTTGCCTTCATGTTTATGTAATAATCTCCCCACAAGGTTTTCAAAAGAACTTCCTTCTTGATGCCAATTTTCTGACTGTAGATTTTGGCAAAGTGCTCAATTCTGAAAGAAAACCAAGTGTTCACATTATTAATAACAATAATATGATGCCATAGTGAATACAGCTAAAATATGAATGTTTCTATTCCAGAAACTCTGCCTGCACTACAAAGCATGATCATTTCAACTGTCCTACATGGTAGACATTAATTACTACCCTAATTTCACAGAAAAGGAAAACAAAGCACAGAGCCAATGCGCAGATAATAAATGAGGGAGGGATTCAAACCCAAGCAGTCTGCTTACAAAGCTGGTGTTCCTGTCCAACACTCTCTTCACTAACAAAACTGGAATGTATGTTATGGCACCCTTTCTTAGTTTTTCAATGTGTAAAACAAAGAAGAACACAAGCCAAGGAAATGCTCACCACAGTTGACAACAATCAATCTCATTTTAGCCCTTCACTGTTGCTCATAAAGGAAAAAACATCCCAGTGCCAGAGCTTGTTTAAAAAAAAAAAAAGGTTTTAGCATCCCAGATCAAATGACAAACACATGCACACTAACTTAACTAACACTCATCAGAACATGTACACCTAGTCCCAGGGTCTCCCTAGGGTAAGCCCCAGCCCTAACATGGCAGTTCCTTGACAGTAAGGATGAGAGGAACCAGCATCCTTGGGGTACCAACGACAACCAGTCATTCCCAATCAGCAGATAGTCTCCTAAAATACTAGAGGCCTACTGGGAGCAATATGAAGCTGCAGGCGCAGAGCACAGTCATAATGGTGAGAACCAGAAATGTGAAGAGTAACAGATAGTAGTACCTGGGAAGCAAAAGCAGAAGTCTTTAGAAACTAATGAAGCCAGAATTCTAGAATCTTCTCCCCCTGAAGGCTAAGGGAACAAAGAATACTCCCTTAGAAATAAAAATCTAAATTATACAGGTACAAGCTGCTAACATCCTGCAGCTAGTCTCAAGGATTCATTACTTTCTAATTACTTTGCTATTGAAATCTTGATTTCCCATGTGAACCAACAGTATTTAGTGGAGTTTTGGTGTTTTCTTTCAATTTTTTTTTTTTTTAAAACTTGAGAAGGTGGGCCTGGAGAACTGCCTCTTGTCACCACTGACGCACACAGATTCCTGCCGTGCATTGTGATGTGGACGGATTTGTGCCTGGTGAGGGGCATGTGGAGCCCAAGGGATGCCCAAGGTAGTAGAGCAGTACTAACATTTAGTAAATGCCAGGAGGCCACCATGTCTGCAAGCTGAGAGGGAAACCAAGGAAAGATATTGGGCCAGAGTGGGAAGAAAAAAATGTCCAAGGTGTCCCATTCAGCCAGGGACCGTGCCTTCTTCCCTGTTAGGAGGCTGATGCACTACCGGGACTCAAGTACCGGATCAGCGTGGATGCCCCAATCTACATGGCAACTGTCATTGAGTACCTGTCAGGGAAATTCTGGAATTGGCTGGGAATGCTGCAAGGAACAACAAGAAAGCTAGGATAGCCCCCTGACACATCCTGCTGTCAACTGCCAATGACAAGGAATCCAACCAGCTGCTAAAAGGAGCGACTATCATCAGTGGAGACATCCTGCTCAAAATCCACCCAGAAATGCTGGCCAAAAAGCGAGTGACCAAAGGCAAGTCTGAAACCATCCTCTCCTCTTCCTCAGAGAAAAGAGGACAAAAGTCTACATCAGGCAAGAAGGGGAGCAAAAATCTAAGGCCGCCAAGCTAGACATCCAAAAAGTCCAAACAAAAGAACAACGACAAAGAAAGAATTTCAAATTCCACCTCTAAAGATAGCCAGGGAGGATGGATTCACCATCTTGTCTTCCAAGAACTTTGTTTGTTTTTTTTTTTTTTTTTTTTAAGAACTTTGTTTTGGGGCAGAAGCAATCCATGACTCAGAGTGACATTAGCCATATTGGCTCCATGACAGTGGAAGGCACCGTCCACCCTACCACAGCTGAAACTGACCTCAAAGAAGACATAGGTAAAGAAAGCCTTGGAAAAGGCTGGGGGAAAGAGTTCCTGGAAACAGTAAAGGAACTCCATAAATCCCATGGCCCTTTGGAAGCTGCTGAAACTGCCAAAAGCCAATCCAGTGGCCTAGTGGCCAAATTAGTCATCCACTGTCACATCCCTCAGTGGAAGAAACAATCAAAAACTACTTGTCAGCTGCAGGCAACTAGAAGCTAAAGTTTGTTGCAATCCCTTATTTTCCCAGCAACAAAAACTGTTTTCCCTCCTAACAACCAGGTGCTGCGCAAAATCGAGAGAGCCATTGGTCTCAAACTCTGGGGTAAGGACATGGGGAAGCCCATTGAGAAGGGGCCAAGGGCGAAATGAACACAAAGCCTCGAAGTCAGTCCCGGCTGATCTCGTCCGGTGGCTTCCCAACCCCAGGACTGGCACCAGCCTTGCTGGGGACCCTCATCTTGTACCTGCTGTCAAACAAACTAATTGTGAAAAGTTTCTGGCTCTCCTGCCTGTTCTTCACCCCTGAGCGGTCGTAGTGTTAGCTCGGTGGGCTGGGGGCTGAGGGCTGAGGCGATCCCCTTAGGGAGCAGAGGGGTGCTGCTAGGAGGGGCTGCGCAGCTCCTCCTCATGCGCTTCCCCAGGAGCTAATAAAAGCTGTTGTCCTTCCTGAAAAAAAACCAAAACCTGTTTTCCCAAACAGTTGACAGCTCAGGTCTCCCTCAAGGCCATCTCGGCGCACCTCCATAACTCAAGCAGGTCTTCAATGAACACTGTCTACTTCCTGCTTTTCAAAGGCAACAGCACTGGCATCTATGTGCAGGAGGTGGGTAGCCAAGCTGGACACCAAGTAGCCGGGTCGAGGGTGGACCCCACTTTAAGGGTCTCACTCCACCATGGTGCTCCACATTTCATATTCTGGTGAAAAGGGCCTTGATGTGTAACTAGGCAGATCACCAGGAGGGATTACTTCCCATGTGTTTTCTTGCTCTTTTAAAACTTTTTTAAAAACAAACAAAATAAAACCAAAAAAAAAACCCCACAACAGAGCTCAAGGGAGTTCTGGTGGCCTAACAGCAAGAAGTTGCATTGCAATTCCAGAGGAACACGGTTCGAATCCACCAGATGCTCTGCTGTAGAATGAGAGGCAATCTCATCCGGTACCAGTCAGATCCGATTTGGCAGTACACACAAAAAACAATAAAAGTAAGAAATACAGACCTCATTTTAGGTTTCTAGTACTGACTTTTAAATTTCTAACACTGACTTACACAAGCACATGATTGGTTGTTGTTATGTGCTGTTGAGTCGTTTGCGACTCATAGCGACCCTACGTACAACAGCCACACACACACACACACACACACACACACACACACACACACACACACACACAAATCCTTTCAAAATTCCTACAAGCTTTTGTTGCCCTCTTTTTTCTTTCCCAAAGGGAAGAAGTGACATGGGCTCTGTTAGTTGTCTGTGATCCATAATGGAGACAAGATTGTAAAGTTAATTCACTGGTGCTTTTCTGTCTGTGGCCCCTCAACACATACCCCCAATAATATCTGTAACTACTCCTGAAAAGTTTTTGCTTCAGTTTTTTGTGTGTGTTGTGTTTTAAAAAAAAAAAAACCAACAACAACTTGAGATGGTTTCTGCTACATGTATCTACCTACCTACCATCTCCTCTGTTTGACGGGGAAAAAACCCTTTCTTTTCTCCACAAAAATCTCACCTCAATCAAGAGACCTGGAGACCTGTACAGCATTGTGGATGCAGGACTGCCAGGAGCACACTCTTGGCATCTCTCCCACACGTGAGAAGATGAAGGGCTGACTTTAAGGAGAGTTTGCTTGTCTCAAAAAGCAAAAGCATCTGTGTTCTGTGTGCTCCATGAATCACTAGGAGGCAGACCTCCTCCTTGGCTTCCTTTGGGTAAGACCACTGAACAGAAAGGCCAGTGCCACCTTCTGACAGCTCCCCACTTGCCACGCTGACTGCACCACGCAGGTTGTAAATTCTCCAAGCACATGAGTGGGTAGGGAGCTGCGACAGCTAATGTGCAGTTCAATCCACCACCCACAGGAGACAACAACAGACAACCACAGTGGCCTGAGGTCCCATGCACCTTCTCCAATCTAGCTTTCCCAAGGAGCCCTGTTCTCTAGGAGTAATGGCCCTAGGGGCTTAAGTGAATAAAGCTAAATTTTGGTCTCTTTGTGGGCCACTTGAGTAGATAATTAGTACATCAAACATTTAATTTTTTTTTTTTCCTACTATGGCACAGAGGACAAAGGACTGCAGCCTTCAATATGGATTGGGGCTCAACATCAAGAAGACAAAGATTCTCACCACTGGACCAATTGGCAGCATCAGGATGGATGGTGAAGAGACTGAGACTGTTCACAACTTTAGTTTGCTTGGCTCCACAGTCAACACTCTTGGCACTAGTACCCAGGAAATTAAAAGATACATTGCAATGGGAAAGTCTGCTGTTAGGGACCTATCCAAAGTTCTGAAGAGCAATGGTGTCTCTCTGGAGACTAAGGTGCATCTGATATAGGCCATGGTCTTTGCAATCACTTGTTATGGGTCAGAGAGTTGGACAATGACTAGGGAGGATAGAAGAAGAATTGACACCTTTGAGCTGTAGTGCTGGAGTATTGAGTGTCCTATGGACTGCTAAGAAAACAAACATTCATCCTGGAGAGGGTTAAACTGGGCTGCTCCTTGGAGGCAAGGATTCTGAGGCTTCGTCTGACATACTTTGAACATGTTATAAGGAGGGACCCGTCCTTGGAGAGGGACGTCATGCTTGGTAGGGTGGAGGGACAGCACAGGAGTGGAAGACCTTCTATGAAGTGGATTGATTAAGTGACTGGGATAATCAGAATGGGTATGTCGGAGACAGTGTCATTGGCACAGGACAGAGCAGGGTTTAGGGCTGTTGTACACAGGGTCACTGAGTCGCAAGCGACTTGAGGGCACATAACAACAACAACAACTACTACAGGACAAACTGTTGTACATCCCTCACTGATACTTAAAATAAATACTGCTTTTAATCACATTTTTCATACCTGACCTGTTAACAGTGTGACAGTGCTATATTAAAATCTCTCACAGTTATTCGTCTGTTGATTTACATTTGTTGTTACTGTTAAGTGCCACCGAGTCATTTGTAACTCACAGTGACCCTATGATGTACAACAGCCTTAAAGCCTGTTCTATCCTGACCAAACCTTATTGTCCCTGACACACCTACTCCCATTACCCCAGTCACTGAATCCATCTATCTCATCAAAGGTCTTCCTCTCCTGCACTGCCCCTCCACCCTCCCAAGCATGACGTCCCTCTCCAAGGACTGGTCCCTCCTTGCAACACACCCAAAGTATTTCAGATGAAACTTCAGAATCCTTGCCTCCAAGGAGCAGCCTGGTTTAACCCTCTCTAGGATAAACTTGTTTGTTCTCCTAGCAGTCCATGGCATATTCAATACTTTTCTCCAGCACCATACCTCAAAGGCGTCAATACTTCTATCATCCCTAGTCATTGTCTAGCTTTCTGATGAATAACTAGTAATTGCAAAGACTATGGCTTGGATAAGGCATTCCTTAGTCTCCAGACTGACACTGTTGCTTTTTAGTACTTTAGGGAGGTCCCTGACAGTAGACTTTCCTAATCCAGTTTATCTTTTAATTTCTTGGCTGCTAGTACCAAGTGTGTCAACTGTGGAGCCAAGCAAACTAAAGCTGTTAACAATTTCAATCTCTTCACCATCTATCCTGATGCTGCCTATCGGCCCAGTGGTGAGAATCTTTGTCTTCTTGACACTGAGCCTCAATCCATATTGAAGGCTACAATCCTTGACACTCTGCAGTAAGTGCTTCAGGTCCTCTTCAGTTTCAGCAAGCAGAGTTGTGTCATCTGCATAAACGCAGATTGTTGGTGAGTCTTCCTCCAATCCTGATGCCACCTTTCTCCTCATAGGGCCCAGTCTCCAGGATGATCTGTTCTGCAGAGTTCTATTTTTATCTCACACACTTTGCTTCTATGATGATTTGATGCACAGAGTTTACTTACTCACATTTGCCAATTGTCAATATAAAATTACCTTACACATAATCTAAATAAACATAAATTCTATTTTATCATTAATATTGCCAAATCTTTGTGTTCGTAATTCACTAACAAATCTGAATCCAAATTTTGATGTTTAGCCTCTGTCTGCTAAGTTTTATCATCACGTCTTTTATGAAAATGTATGCATGGAATTCCTTTTTTTAAAAAAATTTACCTTTTTAACTTGGAATTTCATGTCTTTATCACCACACAGTATTGATGGATTGACTTCTAGATGACTTTCTGTCCACATTCCTATGATTTTAGAAAATCCTGATGTGCTGCTACCTGGACGTTACTTTTAATGCATAAAGTAATGTGGCAGATAAATATCCTATTTTTAATTCCAAAAGTGGTAAACTTAAAGTTCATACACACTATAAAGCTTTTATCACAACCACAAATGATAAGAAACCCAGCCTAATTTGCTTAGCTCACTATCCTCAACTTTTTCTTAATGCATTATCTATTTACACATGCATATACATACATACACATAAATTTTCTGAAGTCTTACTTTATATGCTGTTCATTATATATCGTATAGTTCCCACAAAAATTGCTTATCCATGATCCACCTCTATTGCTTGGTGTTTTTATTCATGTAATTGTCCTTGGTGCATTCTAATTTTCACCAACAGTTTCAAGTGCAATTTCTCCATCATTGAATGTGGTTTTATTTCCTCTTAATATAATAAAGCCATTATTGTAGAAAGAGCACAAGGATCCAAGACAGGTGAGAGAGGTTGGAAAAGAGGGATGAGGATGTGTAGGGGAAGGGGTTGCACAATTTGATGGTGTGGGGGATGAGGGAAATTGAAAGAATGTTCTTGAAAACAATGTATTCTAATTTTGTAAATAAACTAATGTTGTTGTTAAGTGCCGTCGAGTCGTAAGCGACTCATAGTGACCCTATGAATGAAAGTCCTGGACACCTGTATAACTTTCGTCCTTTTCCCAGGTTCACTGGGTTTCCAGAGGCAAGTTATTATGGAAGTGGATGCCACTCCTGCTTCCAAGCTTGTTTTAAACTAATAAAAATTTTTTAAAAAAAAGTCCTGCAGTGCACATCTTCTAGGACTTTACTGATCTATCTTTTGCCCTATCCTCTGCAGTGACAACTTAGTCAAGTGTGAAATTACTGGGCCATGTAGCCTTTTGCCCTCCAAGCCACCCAACAGATTAATGTTAGTTCAAGGATTCTAAGACACTTGTATACAAAGACAAACAGAACTACTAAGAAGGCTTTTCACCATTTTTTCCTTTCTGTCCCTAGGCTCAGAGGTTGGGGCCTCAGTTTTCTTTACCTAAGAAAGAAACTTTGTTTGATTCTTCTTCCCCTAGTTAACGTACTCCTGCTTTGCAGAGTCAATTCCTCTAGATGAAGAGCTGCTAAGAGGAACAATTTAGGAAGTGGGCCTAGGTTCAGTCACTGAGTCAGACTTCTTAATTCTGTCCCACTCTCAAAGGGTTTAAGGAGCTCTGGTGGTGAGCTGTTACTTGTTTCACTGCAAATCTACCAACTGCTCCTCGGAAGAAAGGTAGTCTCTCGTCTAGGTTTACAGCCGATGGAGGGTCACTACATTTCACAATCGACAATGAGTTTTAAAAGGATTTCTAGAGCCCTATGCCAGATTCTGAAATATGTTCACTATCCACTTTTTTGTGACACGGGACTGCAATGTTCCCCATTCAGTGACAGTTTAGAGGAAAACTGGAAGGAAGGTGTCTCCAGCGATTTCATTTTTACTACTTGTTTTTTCTTAAGTCTACACAATTTCTTGAGGAAGGTACATGCAGATCTCACAATATAGCCTTGCCTAACTCACTTAGTGACTAATCTCAGGGTCAAAAGTGGGATGGAAATGGTCATTCTAAGAGCTCCTTATTTCGTTTTCCACAATAAACTTCCCCCGAGTCGTGAAATTTCAAGGAAGATTAGTGTAGAACACTGAATAATTTATGAAAATCATTACCAAGGCAAGGACAAGCTCCCCACCTGGTGGCCCACTAGCAGAATGCTCACATAGCTATGTATATGGCTAAATGCCTCATTTGTAAAGACAATTTACAGAATGGTAAAAAAGATCCGTATTTTACCCAGTCTCTTGAATGTGCATGGGGAAACTGAACAGTGGGAAAAACAAAATCAATCCAACAGAAAATGAACCAAGGACATTGAGGGACATTTCACCCATGGCAAATAAGCACATGATAAATGGTCAGTATCATGAGCCATTACTAAACCTCATGGCTCCTCAGTCACCAGGGGAGAAGTGCACAGAGGGTCTTCGAGGCTGTACATCTTTATGGACATGGCCTGCATCATCTTTCTCTTGAGGAGTGGTCAGTGGGTTCAAACTACTGATGTTCCGGCCAGTAGCTCAATATTTTGCCCAGGCACCACCAGGACAGGACTCCTTCACTAGCCATGGAGGTAACGCAAATGAAAAACTCAAGGAGAGATCACTACAAACTTACCAGAAAGGTAAACATGAAAAACAGTGATTCTGATGGTCTAGTGATAAGGAATTGTGCTGCAGCCTCACAGGAAAAAGATGGGCAATCAACTCCCCTCCGGCTTATTGCCTTTCAAAACCTGCTGGAGGGTCAGCTATGTGTTGGTTCCAACTCGAAAGTACATAACAATTGGATGTCAGTACATGGGGCCAGTACGAATCAGAACTGATTCCACTTAACAGCAACCAAGTATCAGCAAGAATGCAGAGAACAAAGATCATTGATCTACTGGTGGCGTTAATGTAAAAAGATATGGTAATTCTGGAATATAGCATCATGAAAACTGAACATGCAATTACCATGTAACCTAGCAACTGCACCCCTAGACATTTATCCCAGGGAAATGAAAACTCATGTACATGAAAAACAAAATGGGCATATATGTTTATAGCAATTTTACAAAAACTGGACCCAATCAAGTTCAACAAGTGAGTGGCTAAGAAAACTGTATGCTAGCCACATGAAAGATGACCAGTCAACAATAAAAAGGAACAAACTATTGATTCATGGAACAATTTGGGTGAATCTCCAGAGAAGTATACTGAATGACAAAAGATAATCCCAAAAGGTTATATACTGTACAACGATTTCATTTAGAGGACATTCTCAAAAGGACAAAATTAGGGAGCTCAATAGTGGTTGCCAGGTATTAAGGGAGGAGGAGATTTGGCTATAAAGGAGGAGCAGGAGAAACGTCTGTAGTGATGGAAGTGTACCCACACCATATCAGTGTGACTACCCAAGGTGGGACCCTGTACTGCTTCTGCAAGACGTGACCATCGACAGTAACTGGGTAAGGGACACATGAGAACTCTGTATTATTTCTTATAACTTCACAGTGAATCTCTATTTAAAACATTAAAGACCTAATTTTATATTATGTATAAAACCCAGCAAAACTAAATCAGCCTCCGACTTACCCGAAGCCCCACCCATCTATGGCACTTGTGAACACCACATTGCCCTGATCGGGAGAGAAGTAAAGGTGGGAGTCATCGGTGTCCTCCAAGCCGGTCCTCCAGTCATACAGTTGCTCCCCTTGTTCCGAACTGAGGTTCACCTGGGACTCAGTCTCTCTCTCTGCTCTTTCTTCTAGGACTTTAGAAGTAAAAAGAGTTCCTGTGAGTGCATTAATCTAGGAGAGATGGTGAAATGGCAGAATGTCATTCAGATGCTTAGTTTGCCCATGGAAGGAGATACACTCTGACCCCTGTTAGGACTAGTCATTAGTGAACATTAATTTGGGCTTGCATTAACACACATGAATGGTGGTGACATTTATAATTAGTACTTAACATGCAACTATATGCTATCAATTCATTCTTTGTAAACCCAGTAGAACTAAATTATAGACTTTTGAAAGCATATAACCACATCATGGTTAATGTTCAACTAATATGAACACAAACATTCATGTGTTAAATGCTTACCTTTTCAATACCAGGCTCTCTGTCACTAGGAATTTGTGCTTTCTCATCCCCATAATCCTGGTTTGTTGCCTTAGTCATCCTCTCATTTCTCAAGTCAGCTGTTTGAAACTGTTAAAGCTCTCTTGAGGCTATCTTCTCAATCTCTAATGCCCAACCATTGTTCACTCTCAAGTAAGTAAGCCTAACTCCATATTCCAATTGGTCTCATTGACTTCAAGTTAATCATGACTTGTGGCAAATCTATGGGACATGGGAAAATTGCCCCAGAAGGTTTACATGGCCATGATGATGGAAGCCAACTGCCACATCTTTCTCTGAAGGAACAGCTGGTGGGTTTGAACTGCAGACTTCTCTGCTAATAGCCAAACACTTAACCACTGTGTCACCAGGGCTCCTTACTCCAATGTTTAAGCAAGTTCAAATCTCTACATATACACCACACACACACACAGGCCCAGAGACCCTTCTCCTTCTACCTTATAGGGAAAGAGTATCGCAATCTGTGTGTGCCCATCTGTGCTTGCCTCTACAGGAAACGGGTTAACTCACTCTTCATTATCATTTTATCAATTTAGCAAATAAATAGTAAGGCTAAGTCTCCTCCATAGTTTTCCACTGTCTTTAAGAAACAAAGGTCACCCATGCACGTAGTATACTGGGGCACCCTAACTGGACTCTGCAATCTTGACTGCAACCTCTCATTCCTTCACATGATCTAATTCTCCAGTTGTAACAAAGCTATAACAGAGCCCTCATGAACAAGCACAACATCCCTCCTCTTACCTTTATGACTTCGCCCTTCCTATTCTGCCTTTCTCATATGCCCTTCCTCTAATTCTTTAGTTGGCAAGTGACTACCTTCTAGCATCTGTTGTGAAATTTTTCCTAACCCTTCCCTCTTCACTCTGGTCTGGGTTAGAAGGCCTACACCTCAAATCATTCCAGTGTTTATTTCATTGCTCTCTAAGTACCTCTTAACTGGTGGTCTCCTCTACTACACTGTAAACTCTTTGAAAATAGAGACTGTCTCTTATCCATCTTCATAGATGAAATCCTGGCTATACAATACATCCAAGAATATACTTTTTTTTTTTAAGAATATACTTATTTAACATATATTTGAGTAAATGATTCCTGAAGAGATAAATCAATAAATGTTTGTATATAACTCTAGCTCAAGATTCAAAACTCAAACCCATTGCCACCGAGATGGAACCAACTCACAGCTGACCTTCTAGTGGGTTTTTAAAGGCTGTAAATTCTATGAGAGGAGATAACCCCTTTTTCTCTTACATCTAAAGACAGGAAATTGAATACCAGAGACTTTCCTGATACTTTCCCAGTTCAGTATGTCACTAAGTATTGCACTGGGAAAGTCTGAAGTCACGAACCTCTCCAAATTACTGAAGAGCAATAAAGTGAGTTTGAGGACTAAGGTGTGCCTGATTCAGGCCACAGTCTTTTCAATCACTTGCATGTGAGAGCTGGACAATGAATAAAATAACAGAAGAATTGATGCCTTTGAGTCATGGTGCTGGAGAAGAATACTGAATATCCCACGGACGGCCAAAAGGAAAAACAGGTATGTCTCAGAGGAAGTGCAGCCAAAGCACTCCTTGGAGGCAAAGATTATAAAGCTTCGTCTCACATACTTTGGACATGTTGCCAGAAGAGGCTATTCCTTGGAGAAGGACATCACACTTGGAAAAGTGGCAAGAAGGCAAAAGAGAGGAAGATCCTCAAGCAGGTGGACTGAAACAGTGTGAAACGGCTCCAAGTGTGTCGGAGATCGTGAAGATGGCACAAGATAGGACAGGGTTCAGGTCTACTGTTCACTGGCTTACTATGAATTATGCTCAACTTGATGGCACCTAACAACAACAGTAACTCCTAATATTGCCACTCTTTGAAATTAAAACTGAAATTAAAGCTGAACCCCACTGTTCAAGCTTTAGACGAATGACTGCTTCCAGGAAATGGAATGGATTTCTTCTCATGTTCTTCCGGTTGTCTCTGTGGTAAGATGATGACTAACACTTATATCTTTTTTATGACAAAAAGATCTACAGGGGAATTTTCCACAGCAATGCCTCACATGCCATTCAGCAACCTCCTTACAATTCTTCTTTGAGCCCTAATTTTTAAAATATGGATGGGAAGGATAGAATACCTGTTCCAAAATATTCTTGAGTTGAGAATAGGCCTCTTGTGGAGTGAATTTCAGTTCCACTATCAAGCGGTCCAGCTTATTAATCACTAAAACTGGACGGATGTTTTCAAGCCAAGCCTGTCGCAGAACGGCCTGTGTCTGTTAAAAACAGAAATAAAACGCAAACCTCACCATTTGAAATCATTAAAGCACATGAGGAAATCTTGTTTGCTAATCACCACATTCTCATACTCCTTTACTACAGTGGAGGCTATGCCGGTAAGGCTGGAGACTCACAGAGCCTTTACAAGGTGCACACCTCAGGAGCAAAGAACTACAGATTAGAAATTGGACTGGTCATTTACATTATGTAATAGGAAATACAATGATTATATCCTATTCACACTTGTCCAAAACACAATGCCCAGCTTAGTGGAACTGTACTGCTAGACTGTTGTTCCCTCCTATCAACATTACGGTGTGTTCATTTTCTCTTACATTTTACTAAAAAATATTAATATGTACAAAAAAGGATGATACAAACATGTGTGTACTTAATACACTCAGAGCTTACAGAATAATTATAAAGTAAGGACCACATTATCAGAACACAAAAATCAAAACATCTCCCCAGAGAGCCCTGTGTACAACTCACTCATTATAATCCTACCTCTTAGAATTACTCATGATTCTGAAGCTAATTTCACTTATCTTGTCAGGATATCCAAAAGATGACACTTATTCCTTAAGTTACCTGGGCCCTGAAGCAAAATTAGAGGGGCGGTCACAGAATAATCATGGCACACCTTGGACTATGTCCATTTGAGTTATCTAAATGTTATCTTTCTTAAAAAAAAAAAAAACAAAAAACAACTAAAAAGACCCAACCACCAAAAAAACCCCCCCACAACCATTAAAACAAACAGGGCAAAATTAAGGAGTAGGACATAAAAAGTGCTATCTTTTTTAAAAGAGGAAACATTAAGTTGCAAACAAACTCCTTAAAAAGATAAGCTTAAAGAAAGCTGCTTTCAGATCTACTCAAACCAGAGCTGTGTTTACACATAACCTAGAAAGAAAAAAAATTAAAGGAAAGCCAAAATCAACCACAACTGACAGCCACTGGGCATACTGTGACCTACAGAAGCCTGCCTACAGGACGGCACATAGGATTTCCAAGTCAGCAATCCCACATGCATGTACAGCTTTATCTTTCTGCTGCAGACAGACTGGTAGAGTCAAACTGCTGACTTTTCAGTTAGCAGCCCAATATTTAACTCAAGGTGCCCCTACCCTGGCGTTAGGGATGAACTTTTCCAACTCTGGCAGAAATACTGAAAAACACTGAATGAAAGAAGAAAGGGAATAGGAGTGTGTATTTATTGTGTGTGTGTGTATATATATATATATATATATAGAGAGAGAGAGAGAGAGAGAGAGAGACACCCTGCAAAAATTCTGTTGCTACCATTCTTGCTCATTACTTCTGTGAAGACATTGCAGGCATGTCAATTCCAAGAATCTAAAGTTAAAACCCTCATCTTTAAAAGACCTTCAAAATTTGGGTAATCTAACTCTATCGGAGCTTGGGATAGCCTCAAAAGTAAAATATAAAATCAACAGTGTGACTGTCAGGTCCTCCCCTATTCCCACTTTCTTTAGCCAGCTTAAAAAAAAAAAAGTAATTTTAATCCATTACCTGTGGACAGACTCCTTCCACAGCATCTACCACAATGATGCACCCATCACATATACGGACAGCTGTGGAAACTTCTGAGGAAAAATCCACATGTCCCGGTGAGTCTATCAGATTAATCAGGTACTCCTCATTATCTGTAAAGACATTAGAAAAAAACATACTCAGCTGTAAAGGTAAACAATCCTTTTCCTCAAGCATTCTGGAATAAGACACTAAAGCAGTTCAAAGCTCAATCAACAGCTAGCACTCCAATTTAGGAATACTAATAGTACTTCTGATGTTAAATATTAGTTTTGTAAAGTAAAGGAATTATTTTAATATCTAATAAACTATTGAGATGAAGGCTGCTCGCATCTTGTTGAGGGTCACATATGGAATGTTCGGGGTTCTTTTGGCTTTATTTTCGTCTCCAAGCGGTGTCAGCAGCCAGAACTTGCCAGATCATAGTCCACCGCATTTGGTCGTGCTGGAATTTTAAAATGTGGTAAATGCTTGGCTACATCTGCAGGCTGATGGCTATTGTGAACTGGTTTTACGCTGGATGATGGCTGCTCGCCTCTTGCTGAGGGTCATGTATGGAACGTTGGGGGTTCTTTTGTTGTTGTTGTTGTTGGATGACGGCTGCTCGTATCTTGTTGAGGGTCACATACGAAATGTTAGGGGTTCTTTTGTTGTTGATTGCCGTCAAGTCATGCACAACTCAGCGACTCCATGAAAGACCTGAAGCCTTTCTATAACTATCATTTCCCCAAGTTAATAGAGCTTCTAGAGGCATGTGGTTTAGGAAGTAAATGCCACTCCTGCTCCCCAACCTGTCTTAAAACTGGGAGCTCCACCAAACACTGTCCATCATGGGCAGCCATTATGGTATTTGAGACCCCAGTGGTACAAGGTTCAGCATCACAGCAAAGCCAGAATACCTCAGCACAGCAAATTGACAGAAGAGTGCTGTACCACTTAGAATGTTCCTCCAAAATACAGTAGCAAAGGATTAAAAGATAATCCATCGGACTGACTTATTAAATATAAGGGCCCTCCAGGAAGTATTGTTGACTCTAAACAAGAGGTTTTGATAATAATTAATAATATTAATAAAGAAAGCAAAAACAACAACAACAACAAAAACCCAGCATTCCACAATGACCCTCAACCAAACAAACAAGAGAGCCCATTATAGACTCCAGTTGCTTTACCCAGTTTCCAAAATGGAGATAAGAGCTTGGCCCTAAATGCAAGTATCCTCATGGAGGTCTTGTTGAAGCTTAAACAAACAAAAAACCAAAACAAAAAATAAACAAGAGGCTTAAACAATTAATCAATTCAGAGATTCTCAACCAAAACAAGAGAGCCATCATACAGAGTCCAGCCAATGGAAGTCCAAAAGGGACTTGTTAAGTGCTATCTAGTACTGATAATCATAAACAAAAGACTTTAACCTTGTTCTATAACTACTGTCCTTTCTCTAAGTTCACAAAGTTTCCAAAGGCATGTTTAGGAAGTGGATGCACTCCTGATTCCAAGTCTGTCTTAATCTGTTAGCAAACCATTTATTGTCAACCATGTGTAACTATTAACGGCACTTGAAAAATCAATGGCACAACGTTCAGTATCACAGTAAAGTTACCTCAATACAGGGACATGACAAAAAAGTGCTGTACCTCTTAGGAGTGTTCATTTCAAAAACAATGACAACCAAATGAATTTTAATAGGTCATAGGCCCATGTTCAGGCTCTCATTGGTTCCCAGCAAGAGAATTCCCACAAATGACAATACAATATAATTGTACTTTTCTCACCTCCTCCCTGTAATTCTGTTTTCCATTAATCCTTGTAGCCTACCCCTTTCTGCCTCAGGGCTTTTTATCTTTGGGCAAATGCAGTTCTTCTGACCTTATATAGTGGGTTTTTCTAAAGAGTAAGTGCCTATAGGCCTGCTTATTATTTGGCTAAAAGCTAAGCCATGAGCTGACCTCTGCTGTGAGTTTGAAGAGTGCTGAAGGGCCACAATCTTGGAGGTTCCAGTTAAGCCTTGTCTGTGTACACTTTTAACGTACTAATAATGTGAGCACTATTGAACTCTTACAATATCCCTTTAAGATGCAACTATGCCTGCTGTACAGATTAGGAAATTGAGAGTCAACAGATCAATATTAAAGAGTGTGGGAGTGAAAGTTGCTTCAAAAGGCCACTACAGAAAATGGCTGTTTAAAAAACAAAACAAAACAAAACAAACACAAAGCAAGTAGCTAAGTTCTTCTCTACAACTTGCCAAAGAGCTGGGTGTGAATTTGATCAACCAAGATTTAAATTCAGTGCCAGCAAAAATTAATGGTGGTGTTACTATGGGCCAAGTGTATGATGGGTGGTCTCACTATTTAATAGTCTTTAATTTTTTTATTGTGATGTAAATAAGAGATTACAAAGAAATTGTTTTTTCATTTAATCATTTAGATTGATTTATCCTCTTTCCCTTCCCCTTCATTTCATTATGCAGGCCCTGTTCCAGATTGTTAGTTGTATTATGATTGGCTGTCCACTCTTTGCAGAATGAATTTCTTTTCACATTCTTTAGTCCTCACAACAAACATGCAATAATGCACTGGGCTTACAATAGAGTCCTCATTGCATTTTACCCAGATTCAGTTTGAAAACCCCATCCACCATCAAACACTTAGTGAGACCCAGGCAAACCAGAACAATCAGTCATATTGGGCTACAGAGACTTAACATATATTGTTCTGAACATTTCAGCGATTACATGTTTCCTTTCAATACCACTTTGCAGTAGATACTCCCATTTGCCCATTTTATAGAGCAAGAAACCAAGATGCAGAAAGACTAAGTGTCTTAAGGACATCCAGCTAGACTCCGTCTTGAGGAAAATTACCCAAGATACAATAATTCGAAGTGTCAGAGTGAAAGCTCAAACCCAGGTCATCTAAGCCTACACATAAACACTGCACTCAGCACGGCTGTAAATTTTATGTCATGTGCCAAGATTCTGAAGTACCATGTTAAGGATTCAGCAGTGCTCTGGGGCTCAGTGAGTAAGACTGTCATCAAATGGCAAACGACTGCTTTGCCCAGTACCATTCTTCCCTGTTTCTGAGGTTTTCTCATGTAAACTGCTGTACATGGGGATCTAACTGCTGCATCCACCAGAGAAGATTCCCACCAGAGAGGAGGGTGGGTGTTTCTATAGAAAATCTTGTCAGTCAAATGGCCAGGACCCTGGAGTCAGAGTCCATTGCACCTTCACAGCTAGAACCTTTTATGCTTGGTCTCTCAGGAGCCGTTTCACAGTTATCATCTTGGGCAAGTATCTCAGGCTCACCTGAACAAAATCACAGAAAAACAGGTAAGTTCGACAAGGTCCAAGGTCCTATCAGTTCCCATTACATAAAACAAAAGCCATGACTCTCTTTAGATCAATCAGAATAGCCTGGCTAATCCCTTTTTTTTATTTCTAACCCCCCCTCACAGAGACTGACCCAAGGTCACAAGTCTTAGCAAGCTAGACAGGCATCCAGCTCTATTTCCTTTGTTTCTTTTCTACTCTGCAGCTAAGGAACACCACCCACGCTATAAGGTGGGGGGACTTCCAAGCACTTTCTCACACTTTGTCTGACATTACCTGGACCCCCTAAAGAAGGTCTAGAGACAAAGTTTACTGTAAACTTCCAACTAGTTCTTGAATATCAGTAATGATTGCTTTTAAAAATGAATTCATACAGATATTTCAGGTTTCCTAAATAATAGTGTTTTTATTTCACTAGGGTTTGAGAGCTTTTAGAAAATGTCCAGAAAAATCTAATGAATTTACATACATACACTCCTTAGTTACACATCCAATTCAAACCACAAAACCCCCCAAAGTTGTCACCACTGATGGACTGTGACTCACAGCGACCCAGCAGGACAGAACAGAACTCCCCTCCAGCATTTCTAAAGCTGTACATTGTTATGAAAACGGTCACTTCTTTCTCTCATGAAGTTGCTTGAGGGGTCAAAACTGACATTTCGGCTAGCAGCCAAGCATTTAACCACTGCACCACCAGGACTCCTGTCCAGACCCCTGGTCCTTTACTCAGGGACTGTACACATTCTGATTGAGAAGGGATCACAAAACTAATGACACATCAAACATTCAGTCTGAAAACATGAACTCTGAAAAATAAGAACGTGAAATCAGAGAAACTTGGGAAACCGAACCAGTTTGGTAAGAGGTTCGCAACAAGCATGAATGTTCAGGCTTGGAGGAGTGCTGTAACAAACAAGTCTGTTCAACTGTGTTTAATCTAGAACTTGTCAGACATAAGTGAGGATGAGAAAGCGTCATGCTGCGCTCAGCCACACAGGTGATGAGAGCTCAGATCAGAAGGAGCCAGGGCTCCAAATGCCACTTTCAATAGCTCTTCCATTTTAACCTTTTCCATAGAACTTCAAATTAAATTTCAAAACTAAGGGAAGAGAAATCCAATTATCTGTTAGGGAGGGGGTAAAAAGAAAAATCAAAATCCATAAACAGTTCTGCTACATGACTTTAATCATATTATGTCCTTAAGACTTGTTTCCTTGAACAAAGATTAAGTTATTTAGCCACGTATTGGTGAGAATCAAGTACAAATACACTCAGAAAAACCATCAGTGGGGTTTACAATGCTGGCTATTACCATTACGATTACTGCTAATGGAAATGATGAAAACCATCTGGGAGGGGGTAGCAGTTTTGAGGAGATGGTGTATTCCAGGCATCTAACTGCCCCTAAGGCTGTGTGCTGAACTGACTCCCACAAGCCCATGGGGACAGAGCTGCCTGGCTGCCCAGACAGCTGAGAAGAGGATCTCTTCAGTTCAGGACTGATCTAACAAATGAAGCACCAATTCCTTATTTTTCTTTATTATATTACATGCCAGAAACAAAACAGAAAAAAGCTGATGAACCTGAAGCTAACTCTGGAAGAAAGCTTCCAGCCAAGGTCTGCCGCTAATAAAGAGTGATGTGAGAACCCTCTTTCACTTGTCTGTGGAGCCTCTGGTTCTCACGTGCCACGGACAGCTGTGTTGTGGGAGATGCTCCTCTGTCCCTGCTGCCTGCCACCACTTCTCCATGAGTGGTAAAAGTTGCATGGTT